GTGCTTGTGTGAGTCTTCACGTATGCTGGAACGGTGAAGGCGAGTAGACAAATCATTCCGTCTCGCCAGAGGGGCACAATGCCAAATCGTGTCCCTTCATAAATCTCCCAGTTACTAAGAAGTCCGGCCTTCCGCTGCTGGCCACTTTGTTCGAGTGCAGCAACGTGATTCAGGAAAGGGGGGTCGCGCGGACAGTATAACCAGGCTGCTTCTTGCTTCGTGAAGCGCATCAGGGCCAGGGCAGTTACATGGTCCCTTAGTATGGGGCCCTTAAAACGGTACCCCTTATATACCCCCAAAAACCCTAAACAAATTAAGGGCCCATACATCAGCCCCGTTTAAACGAGGTTAGGGACCCTATCTACCCCTAAACCCTAAACCCTAAGCCCTAAACCCGTTTTAGGGCTCATGAAACTACCCAAAGAACTCAGGGCCAGGGCGCGTTGAGGGCTTTTGTTCGGGAGATTGGGCGGGTTCGGGACGGGGCTCGACTAAACCCTGAAACCCTAAACCCTACAACCCTACAACCCTAAAACCCGAAAACCCGAAAACCCGAAAACCCTAAAACCCCAAAACCCTAAAACCCTAAAACCCTAAAACCCTAAAACCCTAAAAACCCTAAAGCCATAAACCCTAAACCAACCCTAAGCCCTACTTTTACATTATGTGTGGGGGGGGAGGTGGGGGGGGGGGGGGAAGGGTATGCACTTGCTGCACGAACTGTCGGTAAAGCGATTCACGGGGCACACTTGCGGTTTCGGCGTGTGGGTCGGGAAAAGAGTCCTTACGGGTTTGCAGCTTAGGGCTTAGGGCTTAGGAGGGGTTAGGATTTGTCGTGTATTTTGAGCAGCTGCCACAAAAAGAAACATAGCTTTGTGCGAAACCCAACCATCATGTCACGAGAGTTTTCGGCTTGTTTGAATCCATGTCCGCAGAAACCCCGCTAAAACATACTAACCCTAAACCCTAAACATGAAACATAAACCCTCAACCCTCCACTAGGGACGTTACCTGGGACCCGATAAGGTCGTACCTTTGGGCTATTAGCAGTTTTTGCTACAGGGGGAGTTCTTTAGGGTTTAAGGCTTAGGGTTTGGGGTGTTTACCGATGCTTCGAGTGCATACAGTAGGGGCACAAGCTTAGGGGACCCAGTCTCGATCCCTTCAGATTCAGATTTCGGGCATCTAGCCCTTCAATATGTTCTGGCACCCTAAACCCTAACCTCTAAATCCTAAACCCTAAGCCCTAAACCCTAAACTTCCTTAAACGGGTTGTGAGGGCTCGTGAGTGGTTTAGGGTATATAAGGGGTACATAAGGGGTCCCCATTTGAGGTCCACTGCAACTGCCCTAAGAATATGGGCCCTGAATTGGCGAGCCCTTACATATCCCTTTTGCACCCTATGAAGGGCCCATACTTCAGAACCCTTCAAAGAAGGCAGGGGACCATGCGCAGGGATCATGTAACTTCCCGCAAAACCCCCTAATCCCTAAACTCTACAAACAGGGAAGGCCAGGAGGTATCGGCATCTTGTATAGGGTTTAGGGTTTAGGGTGTAGGGTTAGGGTTTAGGGGCCAAAGACCCCCAACAAATCAGATCTTTGCCCCCAACACAGATACAAAGCCCCTGAACAAAACTCTACCTTTCGGCCCAGCATCTCCCAGCACGCTTTGCATACCTCCGCTGGGTTTAGGGTCTAGGGTCTAGGGTCTAGGGTTTAGGTTCTTTAGGGTTTAGGGTTTAGGGTTTAGGGTTTAGGGTTTAGGGTTTAGGGTTTAGGGTTTGGGGTTTGGGGGTTTAGGGTTTAGGGTTTGGGGCTTAGGGTTGGAGGTTTAGGATTTAGGGCTTAGGGTGTAGGGTTTACGGTTTCCGTCTGTCTGACGGTATCCCCTAATATGGGCCCTTTGTTGGGAAACCTTCTAAGTAAACCCTAAACCCTAAACCCTAAACCCTTCTATACCCCCCATTTACAGCCGGAAGCCCTCTAAGGATGGTCTTGGAGCATTTTGAAGGACCGCGTAAGCCCTAACCCCCCCCCCCCCCCCCCCAAAAAAAAAAAAAAAAAAACGAAACCTAATAATAATCAGGGGCCAGGAAGATATTGCAGTGTGCACCTACATTCGTGACCATATCTCAAGCTTTGGGTGCAGGGTTCAGGGTTCAGGGTTTAGGGTTGGGTTTAGGTTTTGAAAAAGTTTCAGGTTTCGGGGTTTAGGGTTTGGGGTTTTGGGGTTTGGGGTGTGCGGTTTTAGGGTTGATAGGGCCAGTGGGACTGAGATTGTTTACCACCTTACTGAGTTGAAGACCACCACAAGGCACCATACACCCACCATCACCAACATCGAGGGGTTCCGAATTCTCCGGGAGGGAAGCCAAAAAAACACCCAAAAGCACTTCAGGAGAAGCCGGGTCAGAGGGGGTGGCTAGCGGCTAACATCAGATCTTGTCAGGTTTGAAAGGGAACAACATCGGCATGGTGATTACATTTTTCGACCCCGTAGAACCCTGAACGCTGCACCATTGTCCTGGAGCAAAAAAGACTCGGCTGGTGCATTGCTTCCCTAAACCGTGAACCCTAAACCCTGCAGCGGCATTGTTTGCGCCACTAAACCCTAAACCTTGGGATGCTCCCCCGTATACTAACAGTCCTGAATAGGGATTCTAGTAGGGGGTTACGAAAATCCCGAGTAAGGACTGTTCGTACAAGGGGGGAACATCCCAACCTAAACCCTAATCCCCAACATCCCAACCTAAACCCTAATCCCCAAACCCATAAATCCCCTCAAACCTCCAAAGTTCTCCGACTCGAGCCCGGGGGTGTGGGGTTTAGGGTCGAGGGTTTAGGCAGACAGCACGAGTACTCTGAACCGTGGGCCGAAACCCTAAAAACCCTAAAAGCCCTAAAAACCTTAAAAGCCCCAAAAACCCTAAAAACCCTAAAAACCCTAAAAATCTGGGGTTCAGGTCCAGGCCCGCCACCTTGTGGCAGCAGCCCAGCGTTTCCGGTGCCTAGAGGGAGAGGGAGAGGGAGGGAGAGAGTTTAGGGTTTAGGGTTTAGAGATTAGGGTTTAAGAGGGAGGAAGGGAGGGAGGGAGGGCCGAGACCCTAAACCCTAAACCCTAAACCCTAAACCCTAAACCCTGATACCCAGAGAGAGAGAGAGAGAGAGCCGAGAGTTGAGGATGGAAGGAAGTGTCCCCGAAGCCTAGGGGTTTAGGGTTTAGGGTTTAGGGCTTAGGGTTTAGGGTTTAGGGTTTAGGGTTTAGGGTTTAGGCTTCGCCCCCCCCCCCCCCCCCAAGCTGAGTTTGACGTGCTAAGTTCGTCTTGAAGTCGTTTGCGCACCTACGAAGTATAGGGTTTAGGGTTTAGGGCTTAGGGCTTAGGGTTTAGGGTGTAGGGCTTAAGGTTTAGGGACAGCTTGGAAAGCTTGTGAGGTTTTTGTAAGGTTTCAGTGTGCAGGGCGTTGACAAGCTTGGAATCAGGGCCTTTAAGGGGCTTAGGGTTCTTACAGGTTTAGGATTTTTGGCGCATAGGGGTGTAGTTTGTTTTCTTACTGAGGTAGGGTCTAGCAATGATGTTGGGTTGGCGCATTTGAAGGGGCTTTCATTGCAGTTTCGTGGGTTCGGGTCTGCAGTTCACCTTCAGATCCAAGCAACAGCCTAAATTTGAGAAGAATCCTGTGTTTCTTGTTCTTTCTTTTGTTTTTGGGAGGGCGGAGGGGGGTCCTTGTAAAGGTGATGTAGCTTTCTTGGGGGTATATCAAGGTTTTAAGGGGTACCCCTGCTTTGGGCAAAAGGCCCGTGAGAAGATCCCAAATACGATTTAAGGAAGGGACAGTGGCGTCTCTGGGAGTACCTCGGAACCCTACATCCTGAACCCGAAACCCTAAAGCTTGCCACTATGGCGGATTTAGGGGGGCGAGGGGAGGTGGGGTACCGGGCTCCTTTCCCAAACCTGTGTGCAATCTCTTCGTCCAACGTCTCCTCGGTGATGTGCTGGTCAACGACGGAGTTGTGGTAATAAACGGCGCAGGAAGCCAATGCTACATTCCTGGCGTTGTCTCCACCACGGCGGACCCCTTTTACTTCGGTCTGGCCTAAACTCCCCTGAGGAGGAAGGGACGACGATGACGATGCTCCATTAAGCTCCAAGTGGTTTGTGGGCGCTCTTGAGTCATTTGTGGTTTAGGGCTTAGGGGTTAGGGTTTAGGGATTAGGGTTTAGGGTTCAAGCTTTAGGGTTTGGGGTTCCCGGAAACCTGGTCGCCAGTCTCAGTGAACTGCTCCAGGCACACAGGGCCTAGGCCGAGTCGAGGTTTCGTTCATATAGGGCTTGGTCTTTCGGGTTTAGGGTGGAGGGTTTCGGGTTTAGGGTTTAGAGTTTAGAGTTTAGGGTTTAGGGCATAGAGTTTAGGGTTTAGGGTGTAGGACTTGTAGGGTTTATAGGGTTTATGAGGCTTTTAGGGTTTTGGTTTTGGGCTTACATAGAGTCGTAGAGATTGGTTTTGCGGTACTTGTAAGGTCTTACAGGGTGTACAGGGCTATAATACAAGATGTTTATATTGGTGTTTGCTTTTGTTTCTTTTCCTTTCTTTTTTGTTTTTTTTTTTTTTTTGGGGGGGGGGGGGCGGCGGGGTGGTTCGGGCCTTATGGGTTGAGGGTTTGGTGGTTTAGGGCTTATCTATAGGGGCATGGGCTCTTTTCTTCAAACGACCCATCCCGATGGACCCTAAACCCTAAACCCTAAACCCTAAACCCTAAACCCTGAACCCTGAACCCTGAACCCTCAACCCAGACTCTTAATCCTAAACCGCCCGTTCCATGTATATCCTTGTAAGGCTCGCAGGACTCCAGGACTTTGGGTGGGCCCAGAGGCGAGACGATGTAGAGCTTTCTTTGGTTGCCGGGGCGGGGGGTTCACATACCATAATCGGGGTATATAGTCAGTATAGGGTATAATTATGACCCCAAAACCCAGAAAAAAACCCAAAACCTGGTCGCTCAACTGCAGGGTTCATGTGGTCCCTCCGTACCGAATGGAGCTTCTTCCCCGGCTGTCTGGGCATGTTCGCGCAGTTGGTCCTGAACGGAACTGCTGTCACCACCGCCGGACGGATCGCCCCACGTCACAATCCTTCCGTCGCGGCGGATGGCCGCAAAGGCACGGCTGGAAGCTTGGATGCGCACCACTTGCTGCAAGTGCTCCTGGACGGCGCAGCTGTCCCCACCATGCTCGCCCCATGTCACTACAGAGCCATCCCTACGGATCGCAGCAAAAGCGCTTCTGTTGGCTTGGATCTGCTGCACATCTCTCAGTTCTTGCTGGACGCGGCTGCTGTCTCCACCAAAGCTCGGGTGTCCCCAAGTCAGCACAGAGCCGTCCCCGCATAGAGCAGCAAACGCATGCGCCGAAGACTGTATCCTTGGTAGCCCAGTAGGCATATCATAATAAGGGTAGTTAAGTACCCCTTCTGGGTTTGGTTACTTTATAACAGAACCTTGAACCAAAAGAAGGGAAAAGGGTACCGCCGGGCTACCAGGTATCTGCTGCACGTTCTTCAGTCGGTCCTGGGTCATGCTGCCCCCCCCGAAGGTCGTGCCCCAAGCTGTCGCTGAACCGTCAGCACACATCGCAGCAAACGCGCCGGTGCTGGCCTCCACGCGACATACAAGACTTCATGCATAGAGTACATAGTGTATTGCAGATACTGGTAGGTAAGCGTTCACGATGGTACATAACAGTACATAACAGTGTGCAATAGTTTTTAAGTTAAGTCTATCGCAGAATCGATGAGTATATACTAGACTAGTATTAAGCAGTATTTAACAGCAGTCAATATTTAGTGGTCTTGCAAAGTAATTCAACAGTGTTTGGTAGTACTTAATGGTATTTACCCGTACTTAATCACATGTAATAGCAAGTATGCGTGCCAGTAAGTTATGGTGTCTAATCGTAGGTTGTATATATTATATACTGTTTTCTTGTAATATAATGTGATATAATATTGATATAATATAATATTATAAAATAAAATAAATATAATATGTATATGTAATATTATATTATATAACATAGAAAGAACAGTATAACATAAACTTGCTACAATGTAAAGCAAAATTATGGAATGGAATCGAATAGAACAGAATCGAATAGATACACATATACCTACCTACATGCACATATCACAGTTGGAACGAGAATCCATAAAAACACGAGCATAAAAATATGTTCGAAAATATGGGACTGAAAAGAGGGAAAGATGTACCTACATGCATATACATACATACATACATACATACATACATAAAAATATGTGTATATATATATATATTACATAGATAGATAGATAGATAGATAGATAGATAGATGACATATGCTTCTGCATATATATATATATCTATATATACACAATACATATACACGTATACACATACGCACCTACATACATCTACGCATTCATACCTACACCCATTCATACCTACATCCATTCATTCTTTCATTTCATTTCATTTTCATTTCATTTTCATTTCATTTTCATTTCATTTTCATTTCATTTTCATTTCATTTTCATTTTAATTTTCATTTTCATTTCATTCATTCATTTCATGTCATTCGTTTCTTTCATTGCTTTCATTCTTTCATCCTCTCATGATTTCATTTCATTTCATTTTCATTGTCAATTGTCATTGTCATTGTCATTTTCATTTTTCACTTCACTTCACTTCGTTTCACTTCATTTCATTTCATTTCCTTTCTTTTCTTTCCATTTTCATTTCATTTCACTCATGTCACGTATATATACATATATATATACATATATATATGTGTATCTATACATATATATATAATATATGTATATATATATATATGTGTATGTAGACACATACACATGTATGATTTGCCTGGATGTGCTGGACATTGCGCTGCCGCAGCTCCATTGAAGCTAGGACCTTTCTTCTTCCACCGAACTCCTCGGCTCGAATCAAGGTTCAGGGGTTTAGGGATTTCGAGGCTTAGGGCTTTAGTGGCTTAGGGGTTTCGGAGTTTAGGCGTAGGGGTTTTCGGACGTTTACCCTAAGGGCCCAAGACCCAATTATTTCAGGATTTGTGGTCTTGGGTCCTTAGGGTTAGGCTTTCTAGGGCTGTCAGGATTCGAGGAAAAAGGCTTTAGGGCTTTTGGGTTGGCGTTTAGGGATTTGTGGCTTCTTCGGAGTTTGTTCTTGCCTAGCGTTTAGCGTTGCAGGAAGAGGGGGCAATTTTGGAAGCCCAAGAATCGAAACCACCCCAGGCGACCGCTGATCCGTCAGTGAGGATGGCAACAAATACCTGCATGGGTTGCTGTTGCAGAACTTCTGTGAAGTTAGCATAGTACGGTATGGACGTACATGTTGTAGAGTCTTTTTGACTTTGGTATGGTGAGTTGCAGTAAATTCAATAACAGCAACCCAGATACACAGTCACTGGCTTGGATCTGCTGCACATGTCGCAGCTGCTCCTGCACCGCTGCGCTATTTCCACCATAATCGGCAGAACCCCATGTCACCACACGACCGTTTCCAAGAATTGCCGCAAACGCCCTGTCCGTAGATTGGATGTCCACGACGTCCTGTAGCTGCTCTTGAACGGCACTGTTGTCGCCACCGTGGTCACTACCTTGAAAACCAAATGAACCCGAAAATTGGGGTCATATACCCTATACTACTATAATTCCTATTCAGGTGTATGAACCATAAACCCTTTTAGGGTTCAGTTAGTCCCCAAGGTACTGCCCCAGGCCACTGCAGAGCCATTGCCAAGAATTGCAGCAAACGCCGCACCAGATGCCTTTATCGACACCACATCCAGTAGTTGATGCTGAACAGCCCCACTGTCACCACCCGAAAAGGAGTCGCCCCAGGTGACCACGTGGCCGTTGCGGAGAAGGGCAGCAAATGCACCCATGGAATTTTGGATCCTAGACCCAGGAGTAAGAAGGGTACCCTTGTTGGTTTTAAGGGGATTATAAGGGAACCCAAACCCTAAAAAAAAGAAAATAAGCGCCTACTCCGGGCTAAACCCTAAACCCTAAACCCCAAACCCCAAACCCTAAACCCCAAACCCTAAACCATAAACCCAAAACCCTAAACCTTACTCCGAAAACCCTAAACCCTAAACCCCAAACCCTAAACCCTAAACCCTAAACCCTAAACCCTAAACCCTAAACCCTAAACCTTACTCCGGGTCCTAGGATCTGCTGCACTTCATGAAGCTGCTCCTGGACAGCCGAGCTGTCACCACCACAGTCGCCCTTGCCCCAGGTCACAACCGAGCCATTCCTTGCTTAGGGTTTAGGGTTTAGGGTTTAGGGTTTAGGGTTTAGGGTTTAGGGTTTAGGGTTTAGGGTTTAGGGTTTAGGGTTCAGGGTTCAGGGTTTAGGGTTTAGGGTTTAGGGTTTAGGGTTTTATGGTTTAGGGTTTAGGGTTTAGGGTTTAGGCTTTAGGCTTTAGGCTTTAGGCTTTAGGGCCCCTGTCTTTGAAATTGCTTTACAACAGAACCCGGAACCAAAAAGCGGGTAGTGAAGGGGGCACCTCTGGGCTACCCGGCTTCTCAAGGATGGCTGCAAAAGCGTGAGTCGCAGCACAGATCTGCCCCACGTTCTGCAGCTGCCCCTGCACAGCGCTGCTGTCACCTCCTGACGCCGGTCTTCCCCAAGTGACCACAGAGCCATCACCCAACCTTGGCTGACTTCTGAGCCCCTCCTAAGGACCGTTTGGGGATTAGGGTTTAGGTTGGGATGTTCCCCCTTGTACGAACAGTCCTTACCAGGGATTTTCGTACCCCCTACTATAATCCCTATTAAGGACCGTTAGTAAAAGGGGGAGCATCCCAAGGTTTAGGGTCCAGTCGCGCAAACCATGGGTTTAGGGAAGCAATGCGCCAGCCGAGTCCTCTTTGCTCCCAGACAATGGTGCAGCATTCAGGGTTCTACGGGGCCGAAAAATGTAATCACCATGCCGATGTTGTTCCCTTTCAAACCTGACAAAAATCTGATGTTAGCAACTTTTGGGGTACCTTGCTGTAGTTTCTACAAAAGCCCAAGATGTCAAAGTCCTAAGAGCCAGCCAGAAGAACGCCAGGCAACAGGGCAGCGAATGCACTGCCGGTTGCGGCGATTTGGATTTCCCTCACGTGCAGGTGCAGCACATCGCCCTCCTGCACTCTAACGTCTGCCAGGGTCGCATCTCCATTCCTTGGGGACGAAAGGAACCCTACAAAGGGGTTTAGGGTTCAGTTGTTACCTTGATAGGATGAGAGTAGTCTAGGGTATATGACCCAGAAAATAGGGTTCACATACCTAAGTAGGAATTAGACTAGTACAGGGCTTATGGTTCATATACCTGAATAGGAATTATACCCTACACCCTAAACCCTAAACCCTAAACCCTAAACCCTAAACCCTAAACCCTAAACCCTAAACCCTAAACCCCTAGTATAGAGTATATTATGATCCAATCTTAGGGCTCATTTGGTCCCCCAGGTTCAGAGCCACCCCTGAGGAGGTCACCAGCTGACCACACCCTGCTCCTTACTGTTGCTTTTTACCCGGGAATACTGCTTTTCCAAAAAAAAAACAAGGGTTTAGGGTTTAGGGTTTAGGGTTTAGGGTTTAGGGTTTAGGGTTTAGGGTTTAGGGTTTAGGGTTTAAAGGTGAACGTTCATCATTCCTTCCATCTACTTCCCTACTAACACGTGCCTGCGGGGCTCCCAACGCGTTCTCGGCTCGTAGCTTGAGTGCTTTGACTTGGGAGCCCAGCTCCGCCTCCCAGGAGTGCAATTATAAGGTTTGGGGTTTAGGGTTTAGGGTTTGGGGTTTAGGGTTTAGGGTTTGGGGGTTTAGGGTTTAAACCCTAAACCCGAAATTGCTAAACCCTTCGACTCCATAAGTCCTAAACGCCGCCCGAAACGCCAAAGCCCCACACCCTAAACGCCCTAGACGTCCCAGACGCCCTAGACGCCCTAGACGTCGTACACCCTACACCCTACACCCTACACCCTACACCCTACACCCTACACCCTAAACCCCTAAACCCCTAAACCCCTAAACCCCTAAACCCCTAAACCCCTAAACCCCTAAACCCCTAAACCCCTAAACCCCTAAACACCTAAACCCCTAAACCCCTAAACCCCTAAACCCCTAAACCCCTAAACCCCTAAACCCCTAAACCCCTAAACCCCTAAACCCCTAAACCCCTAAACCCCTAAACCCCTAAACCCCTAAACCCCTAAACCCCTAAACCCCTAAACCCCTAACCCCCTAACCCCCTAAACCCCTAAACCCCTAAACCCCTAAACCCCTAAACCCCTAAACCCCTAAACCCCTAAACCCCTAAACCCCTAAACCCCTAAACCCCTAAACCCCTAAACCCTAAACCCCGTCTGGCCTCCAGGGTGATGCTCCGACCACTCAGCAGCGCGACTTGCACGGAAATCGCCATGAAGGCGGAGGGCGGGGGGGGATAGGGTTTAGGGTTTAGGGTTTAGGGTCTAGGGTTTAGGGTTTAGGGTTTAGGGTTTAGGGTTTAGGGTTTAGGGTTTAGGGTTTAGGGTTTGGGGTTTGGGGTTTGGGGTTTGGGGTTTGGGGTTTAGGGTTTAGGGTCTCGGGTTTAGGGTTCAGGGTTTAGGGACTCAGGCTTCAGGATTTGGGGGTGAGAGTTCGGGTTATGTTATGGGGCGTTAGGGTTTTGGGGGTTGATGTTTTTAGGGTTTAGGGTTTAGGTTTAGGGTTTAGGGTTTAGCGTTTAGGGTTTAGGGTTTAGGTTTAAGGTTTAGGTTTAAGGTTTAGGGGGTGCAGGCTTCGATGTAAGCTGGGTGACTTTGAACCTGAAGCTGAACGGAGCTTCTGTTTTTGGCTTGAGGTTTGCAGGTTTTCCGGGCCTAGAGTTTACCTAAACCCTAAACCCTACACCCCACACCCTAAACCCGAAAAACTAGACCCCAAGGAGGTTCAGGGTGTAGGATTTAGGGTTTAGGGTTTGGGGTGCAGGGCTTAGGGTTTAGGCCTCGGGACTTCATGAGCCGCTCTACCACCCCTCAACCCTGAATGAACCCTGAAGCCGGCCCAGTGGCACTCCTGCTGGTCGTTCTTCGCAAGGAACCTCGGCAGCGAGGGGGTTTAGGGTTTAGGGTTACTTTAGGGTTCAGGGTTCAGGGTTCAGGGTTCAGGGTTCAGGGTTTAGGGTTTAGGGTTTAGGGCCCAACCCCCAACAGGCTCATTCTTGCGGGGGGGCCCTAAACTCTAAGCCGTAAACCCGTAAATCCTCGAAACTTCCCTAAACCCAAAAACAAAAACCCCCAAAACCCCAAAACCCCCGTCAACCCCTAAACCCCCTAAACCAACTAAACCCACTAAACCCCCAAAACCCCCAAAACCTCAAAAAGGGCAAACGGCCACCACTGGGCTACCAAGGAACTCCAACTTCTTCTCGAAGTCTTCAAGCACCTTTGCCTCAACTCTTCAGGGGCTCGGGGTATTCAGGGCCAGGGCTTTTTGTGCGCTTAGGTTTTCAAGGGTTTAGGGCAGAGGGTTTGGGGGGGTTTAGGGTTTAGGGGCTTAGTTTGGGTTTCAAGCCACTAGTTAAACCCTAAACCCTAAACACTAAACCCTAAACCCTAAATAAGGCACTTAACCCCCCAACCCCTAGACTGCAAATGCCAAGGTCAAGCATTTTGAGCTCCCTGATCAAAGACTCGGTTGAGGGTTTAGGGCCCAAACCCTAAACCTTAAACCCTAAACCCTATCACGGATTTAAGGGTCTAGTTCAGGGCTTAAGGGCTTTGAGGGCGTTGAGGTTTTTAGGGGCTTTAGGGCTTTCGAGTTTGAAGGCTTCGCAGGGTTTAGGGTTTAGGGACGAGGGTTTAACCCTAAACCCTAAACTCCTAAACCCTAAACCCTAAACCCTAAACCCTAAACCCCAAACCCCAAACCCCAGACCCCAGGAAGGCGATCCAAGTTGCCATGTTGACGTTGTTCCGCTCGGCCTGGTGAATTCCCCGGACCCGGACCAGGCCCCCCACAGTAAGCTGAGAACCTTAGAGTTTAGGGTTTAGGATTTAGGGTTTAGGGTTTAGAAATTAGGGTTTAGGGTTTATCCCACGAGGCAACAAGGCTTTTTTTTTTTTTTTTTTTGGGGGGGGGGGGGGTTATTCTAGTATAAAGAAGACAGGGACCGTAAGGGAACACTTAGTAGTTATACAGACCCCTATTTTCGGGTTTTAGGGTTTATAGGCTCTAGAGTTCTTAAGGAGTTCAAGGCGGGTATGTAACCCAGATTTTCCTAATCAGCCCCTTAACCCCAAGCCGCCCGAACTTGAAACCCGTGAAAACCGAATCCTTCAAACAACTCGAAACCTAAATCCTTAAGCTCCCGAAAGGCCTGGACCCTAAACCCTAAACCCTAAACCCCTCAAACCCTAAACTCTTGAAACCCTAAACCCCTCAAACCCTGAACCCTAAACCCCTAAAACTTCCGCCTGCTTCATCATGTGGAACACCTTGGTAGTTTAGGGTGTAGGGCTCAGGGTTTAGGGTTTAGGGTTTAGGGTTTAGGGTTTAGGGCAAGCCTTGGTAGTGAGTGGCCATCTTGCGATAAGGGTACCCTTTGGGGGGAGGGGTGATTGCTTTAGAAGGGACGCGTCAGCTTGCGGTTTAGGGTTTAGGGCTTTAGGGTTTAGGGTTTAAGGTTTGGGGTTTGGGGTTTGGGGTTTGGGGGTTTAGGGGTTTGGGGTTTAGGGGAACAAAGAATAAAGAGGCAAAAGGACACCACGGGCGGCCAAGACACGAACCACTCCCTGGACTCGTCTGGAATGCCCATGGCCTCAGTCGAGTCGATCCGCTTCACCTCGCGTGGACGTTTTTTGGTGACCAAATTACTACCCCCTCTATAAGGGCAAAGGGTTTAGGCTTCAGGGTTTAGGGTTTGGGGATTCTACCCCCCTCTATACTATGTTTTGTCGGTTCCGTCCAGAACAAAGGCGATCTAGGGAGAAGCAAGCCTGATTAAGGTTATTTAAGGGGGGAACCTAGGTGGGGGTAGTATAGCGGGGCCTAATAGGGAAACCCACGGAATGAGCCCTAAAAGGGTTTAGGCTTCTCAATTGGACCTTTAGTATTCTAGTAGTGTAGGGTATATGACTCCAGATTCAGGACTCATTACCTTAAGCCCTAAGCCCTAAGCCCAAAGAGTTTCAACCACTTCACGCAAGGACCCTTTGTAGACCCCAACCCAAAACAGTAAACCCTAAACCCTAAACCCTAAACCCTAAACCCTAAACTCTGGTCCCTGACAGACGGCCTTCTTCGTGAGGTCCGAACCCACGGAAGCAGGCAGAGTGGGCTTTGTCTCCTTGCTTTCACGAAGTTTGTGGTTTAGGGCTTGGTGCGTTTAGGGTTTAGGGTGTAGGATTTAGGGTTTAGGGTGCGTTTAGTGTTTAGGGCTTTTAGGGTTCAAGAGTTTAGGGCTGTTCTCGTTGTCTTTCGGGACTTTTTTGTATTGGCGGTTCTGGGCCTGTTTCGTAGGCTGAAATATTGGTCTTTATGACATACACTCTGAGGGTTTAGGGTTTACGATTAGGATTTGGGGTTTACTGTGCGTAGGTGTTCCACGTTTCGGTCGTGCAACGAGGAACCCTAAACCCGAAACCCTTGTGAAACTTAGGCCTAGGGTTGACAGACCCAACAGATTAAGGGGTATAAAGGATGACCCCTAAATAACCCCTAAGGTCCCTTGTAAGGGTCCCTCCTTTAGCGCCTTGAAAAGATCTGAAAACCCAACACCCTAAACCCCACACCCTACAGCTTAAACCCTAAACCCTAACCCAAAAAACCAACACCTGGCTTACCAATGCGAACTTGGTGCGACATCGACTAGGCATACACACTACTGCAGGCCTGGCAGTTCTACTTGGGAAAGATGCGTAGCCTGGATGTAAGTGAGTGACTAAACCCAAGAGTAACTTAGGAAAAAAAAGGGTGCCCTTGTTGGCTTAAAGGGGTTTATACGGGAACCCAAGCCTGCTAGTAGCCCTAAACCCTAAACCCTAAACCCTAAACCCTAAACCCTAAACCCTAAACCCTAAACCCTAAACCCTGAACGGAAACAAGGGCCTGCCCTGGGTCCTAGGTGAAACAGCAGGCAAGTCTCATCATGGAACTTGATGAGGGCGGAGCGCATCTGCGAACGTGGGAGGCGGGTATCGCAGCAAACCCCTAACCCTAAACCCTAAAGCCTAAACCCTCAACCCTAAACCCTAAACGCTGAGCCCTAGACCACCCTGAACCCTAGACCCTAAACCCGAAACCGTACATCCTAAACTCCCTAGACTCCCTAAACTCCCTGAACCCGAAACCTTAAACGACCGAGGGCTGTGGGTCTATGGCTGGGGAACATAGAGCCTTCGGTGCAGTGAGACGGTCAGTTCTCGAAGTACTGTCCCTTCGCGTCTCCCCTGTGCGGAATACATGAGAAGGAAAACGGGGTTTAGGGTTTAGGGTTTAGGGTTTAGGGTTTGGGGTTTAGGGTTTGGGGTTTAGGAAAACAGGGGACCCCTAAAATTGCCGGTCCACGGAATATGGAAACGAGCATCAGCACAATTGCCCAAACTGGAGAATTCATCAAGTGGGCCTAAACTCAGAATCCTAAACCCTAAACCCATGCTGCGAGATTCACTGTCCCGAGAAGGTTGGGCTCGATTCACAAGATGGCTCCTCCTAGGCGACACACTCAAAGCCTGACTAAACCCCTAGAACCCGCAATAATTGGAAACCCGATAACCCTGAAACCCGAAATGCCCGAAAGGGCCTTAACAACCCCTAAAAACCCTAAAGCCCTAAAGCCCAAATAACCCTGAACACCCTCCCTGTAAACCCTACAATCCTAGACCCTAAACCCTAAACCCCAAATAAAATTCTGAAGTCCCAGCACCATAAGGAAGAGCCTCCTCCACTTCTTTGCTGTAGCCCTCCTGGGCTCCAGTTGGGGTCCAGGGTTTAGGGTTTCTAGGGTTTAGGATTTCTAGGGTTTAGGGTTTTTAGGGTTTCTAGGGTTTAGGGGTTTTAGGGTTTCTAGGGTTTCTAGGGTTTCTAGGGGTTAGGGTCTACAACAGCGTGGGAGGGAGTGTCTTGGGGTTGGCGGGGCTTAGGGCTTTAGGCTTGGCGCTCAGGCTTTTGGGGGCTTAGAGTTTGGGGTTTACGGCTAGGGGTGTAGGGCTTAGGGTTCAGGGTTTGAGGTTTAAGGGTTTAGAAGGTATACTACTAGAGGACATGGAGTTCGAGAGCAATTTGGGATTCAGGGTTCAGGATTTATGGTTCAAGGTTGAGGCCTCAAGGATTAGGGGACAAGCGTAGGGCTGAGTGCACAATGGTTTAGGGTTTAGGGCTTAGAGCTTAGGGTTGGGCTTAAAGGCTTCAGAGTCTGGGGCTCAGGGCTTAGGGATTCAGGGTGAGGTTGAGGTGGTAATAAGCCGGCTCGCAGGGCCACAGAACCTGAAACCCTAAACCCTAATCCCTAAACCCTAAACGCTAAACCCTAAACCCAAACCCCAAACCCCAAACCCTAAACCCCAAATCCTTTTCAGGGTTGAGGGCTTTGGCTGCGGGGTACACCCCTAGACTGCAGAGTCCCTACTTGAAATGCAGCTGGCGGACCTTAAGCAACCCAAACGATCGACTGCCAAAACCGGCTCGAGGTGCTAATGGACGCAACATCAGGGGTGTCCTTTTCAAGTGTGCCCATCGTTTTACAAAATTTTAGCATCAGTTATCCACGCTTGATGTTTGTAGGTGCCACTTTGGGAAAAATCAAGGCTATAGCCCACCCAACGTTTCATTAACTTAGGGGCGTCGCTTTTTCAAGCGTTCCCATCGTTTTACAGGGCTTTGGGCATTCGTTTCCACCCTTACTTATTTGAATGGCTGGGGGTTTTGGCACTTGCTCATATGATTTTCATCCACTAACAGAAAGGGACGGAGAGAGACAGAGACAGAGAGAGAACGAGAGAGCGAGAGAGATAGCGAGAGAGAGAGAGAGAGTGACGGAGAGAGGGTTTAGGGTTGAGGGCTTAGGGTGAGGGCCTATGGCTTCGGGTTAGCGAGCGAGCGAGCGAGAGAGAGAGAGAGAGAGAGAGAGAAAATATAGAGAGAGAGAGAGAGAGAGAAAAAAGAGAGAGAGAGAGAGATAGAGAGAACCCTCAACCCGGTCTACCAATTCGAAGGGTGTTGGGGCTGACGCCCCAGGTCTTGGGGGCATCAAGTCGGAATCTGAACTGTATTGTTCTCACTGCTTTTCTTCTTGTCTCTCAGATTTTATTTCTACCCCTAAACCCTAAACCCTAAACCCCAAACCCTAAGCCCTAAGCCCTAAGCCCTAAGCCCGAAGCCCTAAGCCCTAAGCCCTAAGCCCTAAGCCGTAAACCCTAAACCCTAAACCCTAACCCCTCCCCCCCCCCCCCCTAAAAACCGCAGCTGTGGGTCGTAGAGCATGAACTTGGCCGCGCATTCGGTCTCGTCGGCCGGCTCCGTCCGCAACTGTGCTAGCAGCTCCTCCACCCCACCTCATATTGAGAGGGTTTAGGGTTTAGGGCTTAGGGTTTAGGGTTTAGGGTTTAGGGTTTAGGCTTTAGGGTTCAGGGTTTAGGTAGTTTCTAAGGACTTTTTAGCAATTGAGGGTTCTAGGGATTGATTTGGATAACTTGGGGAAAGTGAGCTAAAATGAGTGCCCTAAGTTTGAGTCCCTGGATTTCCTGAAGCACGAATCCCACCATTTCCACTTCCACACGCACGGAGTCCTGTAATTTTACAGCACTTGCTCTGCATGCCCTAATACGCAACGGCCCGCCGCCGCACGGCCAGATATCAACATGTCACCCCCTAAGCCCTACACACGGTCTAAAGTAACCCTGCGTTTCTAGGACGGGTAAGCAGGCTCCATGACCTTAAACCTTATATCTCCACAACCTAGCGAACCCTTATATCTCCACAACCTGGCGAACAGTAAGCCCTGAGCCATAAGCCCTGCGCCCCAACTAAGACCCTAAACCCTAAACCCTAAACCCTTGAATCGCAAAGCCACGTAGGAAAAGGACCGCCAACAGACACATCCTCCGTTTTGGACTGTGACCGTCAACCCTCGCCCCTCCCCCCTCATCGAAGACAAAGGGTTTAGGGTTTAGGGTTTAGGGAGGTATCCTCAACCATATCCTTGAACCCTCTCAATCCCTAATCCTGAGCTGTAGCACCATTCTCCACCCACCATTGACCAAAAGATGAGGCAAGTTTAGGGTTTAAAAGCTTAAAGTTTAGGCTTTAGGGTTGGGATGTTCCCCCTTTATACTAACAGTCACGAACAGTCCTTAATAGGGATTCTAGTACCTCCTATTGTAATCCCTATGAAGGACTGTTGGTATAAGGGGGAAGATCCCAAGTTTCGGGTGTTAAGCTTGCTTCCTGGCGGCCGCTGGCCCGTGGGGGGGCCTCCTCCTTGGTGATGAACTGGAGCCATGGATGGGATCAAGGACAAAATCGAGTAACTGCTTAAGAACCCCACAAATATTCTTTCTTATAAGGGAAATAAAGGGATTACCATCTCATATGTTTGGGGTTCTGAAGCAAATCGTGGAAATCTAGCTTCTCAGAATCCCTCAAATTATATATTAGGATCCCTGGCGCAATTTAAGAAGCTATTTCCCTGACTTACTGACCGCTTTCTTTTGGGATCCCAAGCACAAAACAACCAGAAATACGAACAATGAGAGCAAGACTGAAGCAATGGAAGGGGCTGGATGTCGTAGTGTTAAGAGATTGAGGGTTTAGGGTTTCGGATTTAGGGTTTAGGGTATAGGGATTGCGTAAATTTACAAAATCGAGGGGCTGGATGCATGATCTTCTAGACTTGAGCGTCTTTTAGTTCAGGACGTCAACCAAAAATGCGCTAAGGCACTCGCCGCTCAAGCTAAGAAATGGATGAAGAAATAGAGGGTGCCAACCGCAATCCCTACACCCGGCCCTACATCATAAACCCTGATAAATAAATAAATAAATAAATATATATATATATATATGTATGGGATGAGTCTCTGAGCACCCGAACTACCCCCTGATACGTTCAGGTGAGACTGATCTAATCTCCAACCCTCCAGCCTCAAACTCCAACCCCCAACCCGGTCAAAGCGCGTTTCGGGTCCGCTCGACCGTGAACGGGGGTGTGCGTTTCAGGTCCGCCGTGCGTGGCCGCGGAGGTGCGTTTCAGGCCCTGCTGGACTGCGTTTCGTACAGGCCAAGGTGCGTTTCAGGTCCGGCACCCCTAAACCCTAAACCCTAAACCCTAAACCCTAAACCCTAAACCCTAAACCCTAAACCCTAAACCCTAAACCCTAAACCCTAAACCCTAAACCCTAAACCCTAAACTGAACCCTAAAGCCCAATCAAACGTTAACCCTTAACCCTAAACAGCGCCGCCCAAGGTGTATTTAGGGACTCTATAAAGTTGTACCCTTGGGTTGAGGGACCCTTTTCAAGATCCTCTGGGGAGAATGAAGAGGGGTCCAGACAGCGAGGTACCGGTGCTGAGTTGACACTTTGTGCCGCCCTAAACTAAAACCTAAAACCTAAAACCTAAACCCTAAACCCTAAACCTTAAGCCCTGAACCCTAAACCCTAGACCCTCAACCGAAAAACCTAAACCGTAAACCCTAAACCCTAAACTCAAAACCCTAAACCCTAAACCCGAAACCCTAAACCCGAAACCCTAAACCCTAAAACCTAAACCCCAAACCCTAAAACCTAAACCCTAAACCCCCTAAACCTTACAACCTAAACCCTAAACCCTAAACCCTAAACCCTAAACCCTAAGCCCTAAACCCCTAAAC